ATGGGTGTTGTTTGACGGGAGTCTGCAGTTGAAAAGAGGCGAGAACTGTTTCGTCTCCTGACCAAACCTGAAAATGAGGAAACATGGGAAAAAAATAAGATATCGACAGGACGATGAGGCTCATTAAGCACAAGATTGACCACGATAGGCGGGGGGGAAGGGGTATTTTTTGTACCTTGACCTCAGATCGATTGTAGATAAAGCACGTGAATGAAGTCTACAGAACGGAAACCTGTGTAGATCCTCGCAGGTCCTTCCAATTTCAGAAATCTTACCCTTTGGTTTGCTACCCGTTGTTATGTAGTAGTTAGTTAGGGCTTAGAACAAGGGGCTTAATAGAAAACGGAACGTGTTGCGATCAGGATAGATGGAACGTTGCCTAAAGGGTGTGGTAAAACAGTCGCCTTGGAGTCAAAATGATCCCGAATTTGAAAATCGGATCTTATTAGTCTGCAGTCGGGGTATAGATGGCTATTCAATTCCTGTAGTTTTTACCACAAATGTGTTTTGACGGTTTAATTGCGTCTCTAACTTAAACACATTGAGGACGGCTCGAAGTATTCAGTCGGTTTACCACTGGCATTACTCAAATAGCTCAATACCATACTGTGCCGGACAGGTTCTTTAGATTGACTTCAATGGGAGTGGTGAAGTAGTAATTTAGCAAATGTATAAACTCGAAAACTGTTTCTGTGTGCAACCGATAATTTATAAAAAGCGTCTTTTTGTCAGCTTCTGAAGGTTTGAAATACACATTGTCAAGTAAAGCGGAGTAAAAACGAGGGGGTACCCCTAAAAGGGAAAATTATTTATGCAATTTTTGTTTAAGATAACATCCTAAAAATAGTAATCCCCTTCAAAGCACTGTCTGTTAAATTACATGCGCTTGTCCCAACGGTTCTTTTTACCGTTTAAAACATGTTTATGTTCTTCTAAACTAATGCGAAGTACTCCAACGATTTTTTTCTCAACCCCTTCTACGTTCTCAAAACGCATTTCTCTTGGCTGTGCTTTTTTTGTTGGGAATAACAAAAAGTCACAGGGTGCAATAAATAGGGCGAGTAAGGGTGGTAGAAAACCACCTTCATGCCGTTCTCTTCCCAAAAACGTGTTGGTCGATAAAGCTGTGTGAACAGGTGTGTTGTCATGATAAAGCAGCAAGTCGTTAACATTCAGGTAATTTTTTTTCCACACAACCGTTTCAGCACTTGTAGATAGTTATGTTGGTTCTTGTACTTGCACCCGTCACGGCCGTGATCGTGCCTGATCTAACCGACCTCAATGATGTCACGGACGGTACCTCTCCATGCGTGACGAGTGGCGGCAGCGGATCTGGAGAGCTCCACCAAGTCTCTTATCCAGCGAGGGAGACCGAAGATATAAGGTCCAAGGACTGTTTCCGTGTCTTGACGGACGGTGTCGAGCTAAGTCTTCAGTTGTCCTCCTCTTCGACGCCTCCATGTGGGCTGCGGCGTCAGATCGAGGGCAGCTTAGCTAGGCTCGTGGGGTTGACGACGGAGAACGTGCCCAAACCACCTTATTCGCCTTTCTTGAACGGTCTGAGATATCCTCGCGATACGATAGCAGTGGGTGCGGACTGTCTCATTTGGAATGAAGTCGTTATACGTAATTCGCAGGACGGTCCTCGGGCATCGGTGGTCCAAGACCTCCAGTCTTCGTTTATCTTTAGCGCGCACAGCCCAGCATTCACATCCATAGAGGAGTACTGATCGGATGGATGCACGGTTTACACGAATCTTCGCGGCAATGGAGATGTCGCGTCGGATCCAGAGACGCTTTTGAAGGATTGACAATACCCAGCGAGCAGCATCGATACGGGAGACAATGTCGGCCTTGCTCTGCCCGGTAGCAGCCTCGTCCCAAGGTATTTAAAGCTGTCTACTTCGAGTTTATGGCCATTAATCCCCAGGGGGTGTCTTCTGCTGGTCAGGGATGTAGCCCGAGAATAATTTCGTCTTTCCGGAATTTATGGACACGCCAACCGACGTAGCAATGTCATTTACCGGCGACACTGCGGACTGTAGACCACCAAAGCTTGAGGCCAGCAGCACAATATCATCGGCGTAGTCGAGACCAGTTAGCCGGCGTCCGGGTGCAAGTTCATCACTGTCGTCTGCATGTAGGGCCTTCCCGAGAATCCAGTCAATGATGTGGGTTCACGGTTTTGTCATGAGAAACAAATTCAAAATGAAAGACTCCCTTAAGCTTGCAAAAGTAAATCCATCACGGCCTTTAAAGCTGGATCGTGAAAGTTGAGGCGCGACCCTAACGGGCCTCGTCTTCAAGCGACATTGGGTCATTTCTGAACAGAGCAATTCACTCTCAAGTTGATCATTGGCTTAGAATTTCATTCCAATAGGTTTTCCAAAACATTAAAATTGTTTTCAAAGCGATTTTCTTCAACAGGAAACAGAATTTGATTTTGAAAAGCTGCTCCTCAACGTTGGTCACTGCAAAGTCGCCGGTACCTTTGGGCGGGTGCTTAATTAAACTATTATTGTCCACTGTGATGGTTTATCATGAAAGCCACCTGGCCAACTGGGCAGGAAGTGTTGAGTAAACACCATTAGTGGGAGAAAGCAGTATTTTAAAACCCATTTGCATACAGACAATAATCAGCGTTTCTTTGATAGACCCTACTAAATCTGTCGAAATGGTAAAATCGTCGTGGGACCTGGATTAACTGCATTCAAGCAAAGGAACTAAGTTTTGAAATAAACTATTCCAACGTTAGCTTAGGATTAGTTTGTACAAACTCCTTTTGTTCAAAATTACTAAAGATTTAGGTTTTAGTTAAAAATCTGATAATTACTTCAGAGAACAATAAAGAACTAACAACGAGCGGAAACTTGTCTTCGTGGAGTCAAACTGTTTGCTCACAAAGCAGATAAAGGCGAACGATAATTATTTAAGTCATTGGGGATAGCCATCCAAGAAGGAAAAAACAAACAAAACAATATTAAAAAACATCACAGCTCAGCTGACAAGTAGTTAGAAGCATGAACGCGCAAACACTGGCGGATTGTTAAGCTGGTGACGCTATCAAAGATGAAGTGATAAAGTGGGTTTTTAGCATAAGACACCATCTATAAGGAAACTAGCTATCACAAGCACTCGGTAAGAATTCTTGTTCAATATACAAGGAATAGGATGACCATTTAAGACAATGAAAACTCACCGCTGTCTGCTACCTCTTGTTCACTGCTGCCACAGCCTAGACTGGACTGTAGCGTTGTTTTGGCCCGAATATCGCTGCAATTTAGAAAAAAACATAATGAGATGTAACACCAAGTAGCAGAGAATTTGATATTAATTGAATGCAAATTGGCTATGCGGACTCACGGGGGCAGAAGTTGCAATTTTTGCTCAAACAGCAACTCCAACTTTTCTGCGAAACGTCCCATACGGGAAGTCACGCCATTATAGCGAAAGCAGTTGACGAGTATGAGCCGAAAGTCACAAACAAATTCGCGAATTCCAGGGTAGATGCCACGATCGATTTTTTCAGAAACTGTGAGAGAAAAAAGGCGACCGTAGGATTATAATTTGTGTGAGTTGCAGCGCTGACGTCGATCAACTAGCCGGAAACTCACTTTTGTTTAACCACATTGGGTAACGTATAACATCATCATAATCATGGAGACCTAATGTGGCTGCGTCAATTCGGTCCATGAAGGGGAAAGATATGTGTGCATTCGAGGGTGCAGTGAGAGCAGTTATTATCTGGCGAGCGGCAGAAATCTCTTCAAAACGTCGAGGATTTTCCTTATCGTACTTTTCCTGGAAGTCCATCGCCCTGTATCCAGCTCCCTACTACAAGCAGAAAACGAAAAATAAGGCTTAGCCGTTTGAACTAACGGGACCTGGATGTTTGCAAAAGTAGATACAGAGGAAAATGGGGGTAGGAAACAGAACGAACAATAAGACTACGCCAATGAACAATTTATGTGACAAACTCACATTTTTGTTCTGTGCCACTGTCAAATACTAAGTATGCTGCGATACACTGTTACGGTAACTATAATAATGAATCGTTAGCAGTTTTCAAGTCTTGCTAGTTACGGTAAAATTACGGGAAACATTCCTGAGCTAATCTAAGTAGTCGAATAACGAGTGACTCGAAATGAACAGTGCGGACAAGGGAGTTTTAGCATTTTTTACCAAATAAGTGAAGACGGAGACATTTAAATATCAGGACAAACACTTCAAGAGTAAATTTTCAAATGCAACTGTGATCCTTGGCATAAACCTGTTTTAATGCTAAAGAACAAAACTCTTAAATTATGCGATCTAATGGAGTAATATTAGTCAATTTAACTATCAGAAGCAAGAGTGTGAAATTCAAATATCAGAACGTATTGCAAGGTCCGAAAACAAAGGTATGGCTAAGTCCAAACGAGACTATCGTGCAAACGACTTTGAAGGCAAAAAGGAAAACCATTTTAAAGGTTTGTAGATGAGAACGATAACGAACTTATTGGTATACACCGGCAAATGGATATCAAGGGATTGTTAATAATGTCAACAGAGCCTTTAAACTTGCTCTGAAGTCAAAATAGGACAAAAGGATAACAGAACGAATTGAGCAAAGGCATTTGCTGGCACCGGTCAGGGCCGACCACTGCTCATGTATCTTTTTTTCCTTTTTTCTCCCTGTGTAGGAAGAAAAAAGTAAAATAATCACGGTAGACAGGACGTGCTTTAGTAACCTAGGTATTGTGTACCTTGCTAATTATTTATTTTTACAGAGGGCAGTTTCATAAGGAGCTACTGGCTAAACATAGTAAAGTGTAGGCTAAAATTAGCAACAAATGGCCCTAAATACTACATACATTAAATGGGAGGTTTACTGGATACGTTAACAAACCGCACTCCAGAGGACAAAGCGCGCAAAATGTAATTTGGCTATTTCAAACACCTACAAGTTCCAAGATTGTCACAGCTTTCTATGCAGGATCTTCATATTACTTCGATCGATATTTATCCAACAGGAGCTGGAGAAGAGAAGCAAAACTCGTAAAAACTTCGAACACATTGAGAGTGAATGCGCATACTTAGTGTTTCGTCAAAATAATTGGTTCAGAGTTGTCAGAGTTGTCAAGCTATGTTTCATGTTTCATCAATAGAGGGTAGGGAACCCATCCGT